GGCACCGCCACCGCCACCACCACCGCCACCGCCACCGCCACCGGCCCGGATCGATCGCGTCTCCTTTTCTTCCCGTCGCCCAGCACACAGACATACGCACCATCGAGCGACCATTAGTTTTCTCCAAGATGCATACCGATTCGAAAGTAAAACGATCTCCCCGCGTACACCGCAGCGCTTCCGCGCCGGTCGAGGTTCTCGCCGTTCTCCCGATCGCGTTCGTCTCGAAACGACACCGCTCCCCTCCATCGGTCGGTCGGTCTTAGGACGCGGTATTAATCCGTTTAGCCCGCTCCTCCGAATCGAGTTGCGCGCGACGGTGAAAGAAGGCACCCTTATCCAATGCAGAGCTACCTACATAAACGAAGGAGCGTTCGTAATTCTATTCTATCTATTCTGATATGCATGAATAGGTTTCGCGCGGCTCGTCGGTGAATTTAAAAGAAACATTAATCAGGATAGGAGCGGACGGGGGAAATGGCAAAAGGCGTCCCCTTGCTCCAGTTGTCGCGGCGCGCACCCCTCTCTCGCCACGGCTAATTCGAACCAGCTACCCTCCACGTGGATTCTCCCGACCAAAAATAATTCATCCGTGTCTATTACTCGCCTCTCGCGCAGCTGCCGTCGGAGCGCCGCCGTTTTTCGCAGCCCCGAGTGCCAGTCCACGGGACAACCTTCTCTCGCCCGTTTACGCTCTTTGTACGATTACCGAACGATAACCGAACGATAACCGAACGACACCCTTGCACGTGATACTTCCGCGTGCAAACGATATCGCACGTTGCAACGCGATTCCGCCCGTCGTTCTTGGTAGCCAAGAGAATCTATTCTCGTTTCTTTGTTCGAAATCGAGCGAAGGCTGGCTGCTACTAGACGGTAGCGAAACCGTACAGGTTATGTAACGCGGCTGATAAGATTCGCGCGCTTCTTTCGTCTAGAAGGTTAGGAGAAGACGCGTGCTGCGTCGCTATCCTTCTTTACACATGTCGTAACAGAGGAAATGGTAGGAGGTAGAGCACGCGAGGCAGGAAGGTCGGCGTTGGAAAGCTCGAGGGGGAAAAATGTCCGGTTACCTCGTTTTCCATCGAACGTCATCCCCCATCGGTTACGACCTCTTCTCGCGCCCAAGATGCCCGGGGGATTGCACGATCTGCGCTTTTTCCCCGTATTCCAGCCAGCCGAGTCGAGTCGAAGGAAGAGAGGAAGGAAAAGCAAAGGAGAACCGGAGAGAAGAGGAAGAGGTGTGTGTGTGTGTGGAGCGTTCGAGAAGAAAAGGCAGGGCAAGGAAGAGCACGGCCGCAGTGCGGCCGGCACGCGACACTCGGACACCACGCGAGCGAAACCTCCTACCTCGACGAACGTTCCGACGAGACTGAACGCCGCCGACTACGCACCCTTATTGGGCGGGCACGTTGCAGGGCCGTACTCGAACGGGGTGCTCTTCCCCTGCCACCGTTTCCTCCTTTCCTCCTCGCGGCTCTTTTCCGTCGATACCATCTATTCCACCGTCACGGACACCCACGCGCGATTCCTCCTATTTACGATCGCCTAGGCGCGTTTATAGCCTCATCGTCGTCGACCACCTCGAGACGAGACACAGACGGGATCGGAAGGAATCGCCGTTCGATGGGATACGTCCCTGTACGTACGGCTGGCTAAACGGGGGGACACCCTTCGACGACGTAGCCTAGCCAGATCCGATCGAGGGGACTTTGGAGAATTCCCTTCTCCTCTTCCCGTCAGCGTCACCGTCACCGAAACACGCGCGACCTCTTTCCCGCGATCTTCCCTAGGGATCCACGGTCCACGTCCTTGGCAGACTTTACTCTTCTTTGCTCGCAGCTTTTAACACCGAGAGGTAAAAGGCAACTCTTTCGGGGTTGCGCACCGAATCCGAACGTAAAAAGAAAAATTATCGATTGCCCGGCCGAATAATGCATGCCTGCCTGCCGCTGGCTTTCTCCAATTTGCATGCTCGACTTGTTGTTTGCCATTCGCTGGATAAATTCGCGTCGCGTCCGCCACCCTTTTAATTTCTCGACAGAAAGCCAGAAAATTCGGAGCGCAAACATGACATTCGCCGAGACGATAATTACGTACCGGTATCTCGCGGAGGACGTGATATCATCCGTATCCGACTTGGCACCGTTTCCACGTTGGATTTTCGCCAAGATAAATATCGATCTTGCCTCGTCGGCAGCGTTCGCGTAACGAACCGTCGCGACACGATCGAGCCCCGTGCAACAGGAGTCCCTTCCCTATCTCTATAATACCAATACGAACGCATTATTCCGCTGTTTCGTCCTAAAGTTTGTCTCCTTTCATTTCTGTTAGCCGATAGCCCCGATCGCCTCCTCGTCTCTACCGGAGACATAAAAACCGGAA